AAACCTAAAACGGTCACTCCAATAAAATCACTCCATTTTAAATCACAGTGAGTTGGAGAAGGGAAGGGTTATGCTCTCTGTCAAAGTTTGTTAAACATCATCAGGATCTTGCATCAACAATGAACAAATAAAATTAAAGTTTCTGAAACACAAACAAAGCTGTATGTCTGCAGAAAACAAATCAGTGCATAGCAATACCAAAACCTCATTGGAACGTGGGGTTTTAACAGAGAGGGAGTATGTACTTCACATAGCAAACATTTCCACAGAACCACTGAATGCTGCCAGTAAACTCAGCAGAAACAAAACATCTGTCTGTGATCAAAATCCCAAAACAGACGATGGGAGTCAGGACAATGATATTTATTTGTTTTTATATTTCTGCAATCTACTTTAGTTTGTGTGATTTGTTACTGAATTTCATATTAATCTTTACACCAGGCTTATTTGCCAGTGCTTTATGTTGTCATAATTATTACATGCTTACAAGGTTGGAAGTTCAACAAATCAGTCAATATGCTGTGATTGTAGATGTTAAATAAAAATGTCATTCATATCAATTCATGCATCACCTAATTTCATCATAACATATAGGCCTGGTTTACAGAAAAGAACATTTATGTTTAATCTATCTAATAGTGTGTTGGTCATACTATACAATTATTTATAGCTTGTCTTTGTTGAATAATACAGAACATAAAGAGCTTTAAAAAATAATTGCATATTAAATCGCAATCGCAATATTGGTAAAAAAAATCGCAATTAGATTATTTTCCAAAATCGTTCAGCCCTATTGAGGGGTCAGCGTTTCACCATAATTATCATATATTAAAACCAAAAACTAGTTTTAAATGTAAAACTAGGTTTGAAACATATACTTTCTGCAGTATATTATGTGTACTGTATGTAAATGGTATGCAAATTTCTGTATGCGTGAACTATACAACAAAGCACACTCTAGGAGAAAATGTATCCCATAATTCAATGAACTTAACTTGACAGTTCATTTCCATTGCTGTGATGCAAAAAATTTAAAATCATTTTGACTTATTTGATCTCTACTAATATTCAACTCATTTCTCACACTTTTCAAATGTATTTAAAAGTTAGTTTTTGAATAAATTATATATGAAAATATATGTAATAATGAATAAAATATATATAATAAATAAATTTCCTAACTACAAGATTAAAACTGAAACTAAAATAAAAATACAAATAACAGAAAAAAACATCTAAGTATTCAATCATGTGAGAACTGATTAAATTCACTACTTGAATGCAATGCAAATTTGGATAAAAAGTTGCTTTGGTCTGCCAAATGCATTAACATAAAAAATGCTTAAAATGTGTCCTTGATATAAAAACTGAATTAGAACTAACAAAGCCATTGCAGAAACTTAAAAATACAATTAAATATGAAAAAAGCCAAAACTACAATAACCTTGCCACTGATTATGTTCAAAATTACATGACTCCTTCAAAATATTCAGCTGCATTTCAATGAGGACAAGATGGAAAGATTAGGCACAGTAAAAATATATATTTTTTTATTTGTCTCTGTATCTGAGGTGAATAAATCATCCTGTGGTTTACTCAAACACATTGCAGGTGCCCACAAGCATAGAAAAGAGGCTGTGCTTGTGGTATGTGTCTAGCGCCCTCTAGTGGAGAAACAAACAGTCAAACATTTATTGTGAGCAAGTTCAAATTTAGAGCATTTGAGGACACATGCATGATTCAGGAAGCATGTATTTGTATTGCACAGTCGTGAAGCAGTTGAACTCCCTATAATATGCAAAGACCATTTGAAAATAACTTGCTTTAAAGGTGCTGCAAGCTATTTTTGAGAAATACCATGCATAAAATGCCAATCTATCTGACAGATATCACTGAAATGGGTGTCTTGAGATATCAAACCAGTCTCTGTGACAGCACTAGCCTCAGTAAACAGCAAAAAGAGTCATGAGTGCTCCACCTAATCAGAAACACTCTTTGTCTCTGAATAAATCTGCATATCTTCAACTGCAATTAAAGGAATATTTTGCACAAAAATGACAATTAGCTGAAAGTGCACTACATCCAAGATGAAGTGTGTTTCTTCATCAGATTTGGAGAAATGTAGCATTACATCACTTGCTCACCAATAGATGCTCTGCAGTGAATGGGTGCCGTCAGAATGAGAGTCCAAACAGCTGATAAAAACATCACTATAATTAGTGCTGGGCGGTATGGCCAAAAATGTATATCACGGTATTTTTCAAAATTATACCGGTTTCACGGTACATGGCGGTATTTTATTTATTTTTTTCATGCATGACCAGGTGTTAACCATATTTTCTACTGATTGAGAGAGGAAATACTGCAGTATATTGACTTAGAATGCCCTATTTTACTGTCATGAGTGAATATTGTCAAAAAATACCACACTAAATAGTGACTAAACACAACCCCTTTTAATACATGTTAACCAGGAGTCACTCATTTATAATCGCAGCATCGTCTGATAAAATCTACATGCATCTACACTAAAGAGCGGCTATGCGGTTGATTTGGTTATATTATTTCTTTGTCTCGTGCAGCGCACTGCCTGCGTCTGAGTAACAAACTAAAAAAACAACAAACAAAAAAGTGCATGTGATATTAACAGACAAACTACGTTCATATTTATAATTCCAAACAATCAGTAAGAGACAGGTGCTTGGAAACGCTGTTTTGTACTGATTTATTGATGAGGCGGCTGCGGTGCGGCCAACTGAATGCACTGCTTCTCTGCCGCTCACTGCACAGAACAGACTTTTTCACTGGAGAAAGTGTTCTGGATTATGGACTCATTTTTGACCAGAAGTGACAGTTTAAAGTTAAAATCCTTGATGGATTTGTTTCTTACAAACGACTTTTCACTTCACAAGATGTCAGTTGATGGACTGGAGTGGTGTGGGTTACTTGTGGATTATTGTGATGTTTTTATCAGCTGTTTGGACTCTCATTCTGACGGCACCCATTCACTGCAGAGCATCCATTGGTGAGCAAGTGATGTAATGCATTTCTCCAAATCTGTTCTGATGAAGAAACAAACATCGACATCTTGACTATATTTTCTACAAATTTTCATTTCTGGGTGAACTATTTCTTTAAGATGAATCGGAATGGTGATGGATAGCTTTCTCCTGGTATTATACAGCTCCTTGTGTGGTTGAAAATATGGAAAACAGTTCAAATGTCACTAAGGAGGGAGCAGGAAAACAAACACCTAAAACGTATGCATCAGCCCCAAAAATGTGATGTAATCCTCATCTAATAACAGCAATCATCCACAGTGCTATAGCAAACCTAAAACGGTCACTCCAATAAAATCACTCCATTTTAAATCACAGTGAGTTGGAGAAGGGAAGGGTTATGCTCTCTGTCAAAGTTTGTTAAACATCATCAGGATCTTGCATCAACAATGAACAAATAAAATTAAAGTTTCTGAAACACAAACAAAGCTGTATGTCTGCAGAAAACAAATCAGTGCATAGCAATACCAAAACCTCATTGGAACGTGGGGTTTTAACAGAGAGGGAGTATGTACTTCACATAGCAAACATTTCCACAGAACCACTGAATGCTGCCAGTAAACTCAGCAGAAACAAAACATCTGTCTGTGATCAAAATCCCAAAACAGACGATGGGAGTCAGGACAATGATATTTAACATGAACGGAGTGAGTTTCCATGTCTGAGAGGGCCAAATCGAAGTCCTGACCTCTGATGAGATCGAAACAAGCCATTCAAGCAAAGCCTATATAAACCATCTGGTTTAAAGGAATCATCTTTACTTGAACATTACAGTGCAACATCTGTATATGATCCTGCCTCAACATTGACTTAAACGTCTATCAGATATTTATGTTCACGGAATCTTTTGACACTAAACTAAGCTGAGGATTCTGATCATGTCAGCACTTGTTTTTGCTCTATTTTGTATTGCTCTATCTCAAAACAACAACAACAAAAATCTTAAAATGAACACCAAAACCTTTGCAATTATGTTCTCATAGAAAGTTCATTAGCTCGATTTTTAACGGTTTGTTCAAGCTTTGAATGCAAATTGTCATAATCAAGCCGCGGTTCGTTTGAAAAAATACTAATGAGGCGTCTGAATGTTCCCTGCAGAGAAATATTAAAGAGAACACATTCAGCACTTGTGTTGTGTGTAGCACTGTCTATTTTCCCTTAAGTCCACTTTAAATGCTTCTTGCACCAAAAATAATTTTTAAAACCCTTCACTTTTCTATGAACTCTTGACCTTGTTACTTCATACTGCATGAAGAAATTCATACTTTTATTCAACAAGGATATATATTAAATTGATCAAAAGTGACAGTAAAGGGATTTATAAAGTAACAAAAGATTTCCACTGCAAATAAAAGCTGCTCTTTTGAACTTTCTATTCATCAAAGAATCCTGAAAAAAGTGCATCAGTGTTTCCACCAAAAATATGAATCAGCACAAATGTATCCAACATTGATATAATAAGAAATGTTTCAAATCAGCATATTAGAATGATTTCTGAAAGATCATGTGACTGAAGACACAATGCATCGCAGGAATAAATTACATTAAAAAAAAACTGTTATTTTAAATTGTAATCAATTGTAATTCACAATATGCCCATTTTTACTTTATTTTTTGTCAAATAAAAGCAGCCTTGGTGAGTATAAGAGCCATATATAATCATATTACAGTACTGACATTTTGATTTTAAAGTCCCATTATGACACAAATTCATAATGCACGTTGTAAGCACCAAAACTATTAATCACCATGAGTTCGACTAGGCTGAGATGGAAATGTGTTGGATCAGCTCTTCTAAACTGCTGAGTCTAACTCAAAGTCTAAAGCTTGCCATTTATCGTATCCATTGTCCAGCGGTAAGGACATGTTGCACCACGACACCGAAGCCCAATAATTCCCTGCTCCCCAGTGATCCATCAGTAATGAGTGTCAGACTCTCACCTGTCATCGAATTCTCAGATGTGCTCAGCTGTTCCCTCAGTTTGTCCACGTCATCCGGATGGACCTGCTCAAAGAGCGTGCTGCCAAACCACTCGGACTGCGGATGGTTCAGAACGGGAGTGACAGAATCGGACACGTAGATAACGCGACCCGTCTCAGCCGCCACCACGAACAGGAAGCCATCAGCCGCCTCCAGAATCAAGTGCTTCAGTTCCTGTGACAGCAAACGGAGGGTTTCAAATGATGTTTAAAGGACTTTCAAGTGATATTTAGAAAGTCTGAATTTTCCTACTCAACCTTTTGTTGTTTTTTTTGTGCATTTTATTACACATTTTTAAATATTTGACTAAGGTATGTTACATATGGCATATTTACCCCGTAAAGCCTGACACATAAAAATAAAAGTCTGACAAAACCTAATTTGGTTTGCATTTTAACAGTTTATGTCTAAATCCAAAACAAAGAGTTTGCATATGTGACCCTGGACCACAAAACCAGTCAAAAAGGTCAATTTTTTAAAATTGAGATGTATACATCATCAATTAAAAAAGTTGAATAGATAAGCTTTCCATTGATGTATGGTTTGTTAGGATAGGACAATATTTGGTCAAGATACAACTATTTGAAAATCTGGACTCTAAAGGTGCAAAAAAATTTAAATAGTGAGAAAATCACCTTTAAGTTGTGCATTTTAAATGCAACTTTAAAATGCATATTACTAATCAAAAATTAAGTTTTGACATATTTATGGTAGGAAATTTACAAAATATCTTCAAATAGTGAGAAAATCACCTTTAAGTTGTGCATTTTAAATGCAACTTTAAAATGCATATTACTAATCAAAAATTAAGTTTTGACATTTATGGTAGGAAATTTACAAAATATCTTCATGGACCATGATCTTTACTTAATATCCTAATGATTTTTGGCATAAAAGAAAAATCTCTATCATTTTGACCTATACAATGTATTTTTGGCTATTGCTAGAAATATACCCCAGCGACTTAAGACTAGGTTTTGTGCTCCAGGGTCACATATGTGTTTTTTCTTGAGCATCATATTTGCAACATCAGCCTTTTATAGCTCATATAGTACAACCTCAATTCCAGAGAAGTTGGGACATTTTGCTCATTCTCTTTAAAGGGGTCATATGATGCGATTTAAATTTTTCCTTTCTCTTTGAAGTATTACAAGCTCTTGGTGCATAAAGAAGATCTGTAAAGTTGCAAAGACTAAAGTCTCAAATCCAAAGAGATATTCTTTATAAAAGTTAAGAGTCAGCCACACCTACCTAAAATGGCTCGTTCTAACACGCCCCCACATATCTACGTCACTATGTGGGAAGATTTGCATAACGCCACCCAAATGTTCACACAAAGAAAGAAGACATAACTTTTATTCTCGCTGTAGTATTGCTGCCGCCGCCATGTCATGAAGGCACTGTGTTTCATTGAGAAAGCGAAACTACTTTGTTTGGTCTTCCAAATGAGGATGATATCCGCTTCGTCATGCCTAGAGCTGATCTGTGCTGGTCGCTGAGGAAAAACATCAACTTCGCCCTGTCAATCGCCGGATCGGCTTTCACCGTGGACAAAGCAGAGTCCAGCCCAGAGTTGTCACATGTGGTTGCCGCAAGCCTCCTTTGTCTCTAGCCCGCCGTGTGTGACGCTGTGTTGTCACATGTGGTTGCCGCAAGCCTCCTTTGTCAAATCCGCCGGGCGCCGCTCACTCAAGCCGCAGTGTGTTTCGTTGTGAAAGCGAAACTACTTTGTTTGGCCTTCCAAAAGAGGACATGATGTTTCTATAAAGTGGAGCAGTTCCAACTTTGCAAGGACAGTCTGGCGCTTCTGACTCACAGCCTGTAAGTACGTTTTTTATATTTAAAGAATTTGCCAATGATGATTCAAACGCGAGTTTTGAGTAGTGTAGAGTAGCGCTTGTTGTTTGTCATTTCTCCGATCACAAATGCAGACATGGTTTTATGTTTACGCGGCGGAATACGCAATGCAAAGCGTAAAAACAGAGTACAAGTCATTACAATCAGTAATTATGTCCCCACTGGATGCAACAAATGCCTCGTTTGTAATGGGTTTTATTGGTTTTGTCTCGTCGCGCCAGACACATGGAAACCATAGACTGTATGATGGAAACACAAAATGGTAAGGGGCGTAACATTTCTGTCACACGCTTGAGGTATTCGGCCAATCACAACGCACTGGATAGTTGGCCAATCAGAGCACACATCGCTTTTCAGGCCGATGAGCTTTGTAGCGTTTCAAAAAGGCGGGGCATAGAGGAGAAACAATAATGTACATTGTGGAAAATAATGTGTTTTTTTAACCTTAAACCACATAAACACATTGCATTACACGAAATACACAAAATAATGTTCTTTTTAGCAACATCATATGACCCCTTTAACTTTTATTGAATTGACAAAAAGTACAAAGAAAAGATTTCCAAAGTTTTCACTGACCAACGTAAATGTATTTTGTAAATATGAAACAAATTTTGATTTTGATCTCTGGAATTGGGGTTGTATGATATAGTGAGAAAGAATATGGAGTTCATACTCAAACATGAACAAAAAAACTATTCAATTTTATTCTAAACGGAGCAAAAATATGCATTTTGTGTAGATGTAAATATTTATATGGCCAAAAAGTATGCATATGAATATCAGTCACTCTATGCCTCCCAAAATAAGTCTTGATATTTAAATGCTTGGTTTTATGATCAAAGCTCTGTAGTTTCAAAATGCATTATGCAATGCAACGTAATGATGATTGAGAGATGAACAAATACAAGAACCTCAAAAGCCTGATGATCATATTTGATACTCACATTTTAACATGATAATAACATAAATCGCTTCAGTCTTGAAATATTCCTAACAATATAAACGTTACGTTCACGTTATAAAGATCAGTAAAGATTTCACAGCAAGAAGACACACTAAACACGAGCTGAAAGTGGACATTTTTACAATTATACTAAAACACTCTCTCAAAGAGAATAAAGTATCAGTCGGACGACAGAAAGGCATGGAACAGATTGTGTGTTTTGATCATTTAGACTAGAGGCATCAGAAAATTGCATATCAAGTATGATACAGTAGACTTTATAGGGTGAATAAATGGCAATGTATGATTTTAAGGCCATTTTATTGTCCTTTGCTGAGTGCATGACTGATATATGGAGTGTTTCAGGCGAGTGATTTCTCACCTGTTCAGTCAGGAAGGAGGGTTTGTAAGCGCCGTCAGTTGACGTGTTCCCCGTTCCCCTCATGGACTTCATGTGTGAGACGGCCATGCGCAGGATGGTGAGCTTGTCTGGTTTCCTGGCTAGCGCGCTGCAGGTGGGCACCATGTCCGACAGCTCTGTGATGTACAGGGTCATCTTATTACGCCGGCGACGCTCAATCTCACTGTGGTTCTCTCTGGATGAAGAGAGGAACGATACTGCCATCATTAGCATGTAGTGAGAGCTGCACAGCACTTTTACTACTACAGTTCGTGGATAATTACCATTAAGGATATCAAAACCTCAATTTTGTTCAGTTAAAATTGATACAATAAAAGAATAATTTTATAATATAATGCACTTTATATTTTAATGTATTTTAAATATTTTATTATATAAGTATTATTAAATAATGTATATTAGTATTATTACTATAGATATAATATTACAATATATACAGTATATTATAAAACATAATATTAGTATTAAAAGTTATGTGTGGTTATATAGTTATAGCAATGAAATAATTATTATCATCTCTATACAGATGTTCAAATGTTTGGGATCAGAAAGATTTTTAAATGTTTTTAAATAGGTTTCTTATGCTCATTACGGCTGCATTTATTTATTGATTTAAAAAAAAAACACTAATATTGTGAAATATTATTACAATTTAAAATAATTCTTTTTTTAATATACTTTAAAATATTATTATAAAGAATATAATATAAAGAATTTATCATCACCCATTGTCTTCAGTGTCACATGATCCTTCAGAAATCATTCTAATATTTATTATTAATGTTAGAAACAATTGTGCTGCTTAATATTTTTTGGAACCTTTGACACTTTAAGGAATCTTTGATGAATAAAAAGTTAAAAAGAACAGCATGTATTCAAAATAGAAATCTGTTATAACAATACAAGTCTTTACTATCACTTTTTATCAATTTAACATATCAAATATTTATTATGATATTATCATATCAACATTTTTCAAAAAAAAGAAAAGAAAATAATTTACTGACCCCAAATTTTTGAACGGTAATGTATACTGTTGTAATTCAATACAATATTATAATATAAAAAATGATAATGTGTGTGCGCATTTTTGAGATCCTTCTTTCGCTTGTATAATTGCAATTGCGAAATTGCAATAATTACCACCTACCTATGTCTGCTCTCATGTACTTATATGCATTCGATGTTGACCTTGATTGATAAATACATCATTATGAATTACTATAGAGGCGACAATCGAGACCCTCAATATACAGAAAAAAATTTATTTGGCTCACGTTTTCTTTTCAAACTTAGAAAAAAAAAAAAAGGTTTCTTCCTTGGACTGATCAGTCGCAACACTTCTTCTTCAACTGAAACGTTCAGTTAAAAAAGTACCAGAGAGGACATTTGAAGACTTTTTTACTTCATTTCTGTGATTTAGCCGAGACTCTAGCAATAATCTGAACGCTGACAGATGCGAACCAATCTTTTAAGTGGAAAATGCAAACCGATAAATCTTGGGAGGCCAGGACGCTGTATTAGTCCATTAGTGAGTGGAGCGCAATGGCTCAAAGCAACGCGGCAATTTCAGATGAGAGTGTCAGCTGAGGATAATTAAACACCCATTTAAGATTAGATCTAGACAGAGTCGCTCGTGTGAGGCCAAGGTCGCTCCTGACGGTCGGCAGGGGCCTGATTTCTAGCTATCCTGAGGGAACCTCCCCAAGACAGCCCTACCTGGCATAACGCTCCTTATCACCGGGAATCTGATCATCGTCATACCTGACGGGAGAGAGAAGAAATCTAAATAAGATAAATCAGCCTGAAAATGTCAGCTACATCACTTCTAGATTTTATGATTGTGGCTCAAATGGAGTGATCATGAACCGCATTTGAATGTGTGAATATGGTAATATAATAATGGACTGTGACCACTGGATAATGAAAATCAACAAAAAAGACAAACTAAACAATCTGAGGTGTCTGTACCCCAGGATATAAACTCACTTCTGTATGAACTGTTTCATAAAATGCCTCCGAGAAGTACAGTTGAGTTTTACAGTAATATCGCTGCGATAATAATAATAATAATATCCAGTTTTATAATCTATTAATATTATATATATATATATATATATATATTTTTTTTTTTTTTTTT